ACCCGCGGATATAAAGCGCGGCTAATTAATCGAGGCGCAGCGGAGTGTTTGACGTCAACAGCTGGCCAAAATGATTTTATCCTATGATGGATGTTTCTTCTGAGAATTCTCGAATCACACAATACGGTTATTTTCTTAATTTCGCGAAACGAGGCACAGAATGAAAAATTCGCAAATTATATTCGTAAATGTTTATAAATATTGTAGGTATGTTCGTAATATTTTATTTGAGAATATATTTTCTTTTATTATTATGGGTTTAAATGAATTAAAATGATTCTTTTTTACTATGACAAAAATATAATACGATAAAAGTAATAAAAATATAATATAATATAAGTAATAAAAATATGATATAATAAAAGTAATAAAAATATAATATAATATAAGTAATAAAAATATAATATAATAAAAATGATAAAAACACAGGTAATGTGGAATATAATGTTTATAATATTTAGCGAATGCTAAAGTACACACTTAACTAAAAAAAGCCTTTTGTAAAGAGAATTAACGTAATCTCTGAGCGACATATAAAAGTCATTAATAAGTGAACAGTAAATTCAGAAGTCAGTTAACGGAGATGCAGTATCGAGAAACATTTTATTCTCTTCATTCCCCTATTACTCAGGCTTTTAGGCTGCTGTACGTGTATCGTCTTCATATTTATTTTCGAATTTTTCGCTTCACAGATTCATTATCGACGACCACGAAAATCCGAAATTACGAAGTTCCACGAAAATTTGACGAAACTGACTTTTTTCCAGAAATTATCGATCCGCGGACCGCTGTGCGCCGGCTTCGTAAAGTCGGATTAATTATGTCGAAACGAGGCTCGGACACCGAGCGAAGGAAGTCGATCCTAATAACGAATAAATGACCATGAAAATTTCAGCTGCTCCGCGAGGACTGTGTCCGCGTTTAGCTGTCGGGGAGGGAGAGAGAGAAAGAGAGAGAGAGAGAGAGAGAAAGAAAGTGAGAGAGAGAGAGAGAAAGCGAGCGAGAGAGAGAGAGAAAAGGGAGCGAGAGAAAGAGAAAAAAAGGAGTGGGAGAGAGAGAAAGTGAGTAAGAGAGGGAGAGAGAGAGAGAGAGAGAAAGCAAGCGAGGGGAGAGAGAGAGAGAGAGAGAGGGAGAGAGAGAAAGCGAGCGAGGGAGAGAGGGAGAGAGAGAGAATGCGAGCGAGCGAGAGAGAGAAAGAAAGCGAGCAAGAGAGAGAGAAGCGCGGAAACGAAAGGGTGACACGGTGGGCGGGCATCCACGTGAGAATAAATAAATAAATGAGCCCGGCGAGCGAAACAACGGTGGAAACTTGGAAATAGGGGAAAGACACGACATTGCACTTTTTCCATTTCCACGCTTTGAAAATTACATTCGTTCTTCGCCGCCTTTCCGCCTCTGCCTTTTTTTGTCGATTCCGGCTCGCGACGCCCCCGCAGTCACGGTAAATAAATATCCCTTTATTTGAATAATTTCTGCACCGTCGGACGCGTTGCCGACAAACGTGACAGCCACTGAAACGATAGACTTTGTCCGACCACCAACGAATCTGTCATTCTTGGCCAGTGATTTCGATGATTTTTGGAATCTTAAATGGCGCAACAGTGTTGCGATAATAATATGATCGTGGTTTCGATTTAACATCGATTTTATTATATAGAGGAGTCTTGTTCAATCGATTGGTTATTTATTTAGTTAGTTAATTGTTATTTAATAGTTATTTATTTATAAACCCCCCGTACAAAGTCTTTTATCCGTATTTTACTATACCATAGCGTTTGACCCGTTTGTCAATAAATTTTTGCAACGACAAAAACGGAAGCATAATTTACAACGATTGGTTCATTCATTAATTTATTTATTCTACACTATTATTCTTTAATAATTTTCGTACGGCAAAAATAGTATAAATATGCCAGAAACTGTGTACTTCCTTGCAAAAATACTAATTAATCATATTTATTAAACTATCTGTGTGAACCAAAGAGTATCTCACCTGTAAACAAATAGATAAATAAGTAAATAAATAAATATATTATCGTTTTTATCGACATATCGTTCAATATCAACGTAAAGAATTTTAACGTATTTTAAGAATTTAAATGTAAATTTTTCAGTTAAAAAAAGCAATAAAATGTATGCTAAAGAATTTATTATTGCTGAGTCACACCATTATTATCGTCATTACTTAACAATTAAAAAAGAAAGTATAATGGGGACAATAGAAATGCACTTCGAATGCATCTACACGCGTAAGAGCGTTGCGGGTCCGAATAGACCCAGGCGTGGTCGTTCGT